ACATATTCGAGGCTTGCCAAGTGGATTATGGTGTGGATGGTTCCGAAAGGTTATTAGGCCTACGTGGTATCAGGGTCATGGAAGACTTTGGGCTGCTTAGGATCCCAAAGATCCAAGCCCATACCCTTTGTATTTCACACAGGCTTTATTGAGAGAGAACTAGCCTAGTTTATCTATTTCCCTAGCAAGCTAACTCCTTTAGTTAGGATTAAATTAAATTCTTGCATTAAATGCATGTTAAGCCCAACAAGTTAAGCATTTAATGTTGACTTTCCCTTCCCAGTTTGCACAGACAGCTAACGTTCAAAACCCATGAAACGTGCTACCAGATTTAGCACATGCGGACTGCTGTCCTAGGAAAGCCGTGCCTTTGGAAGTAGCAATTTGTAGATCTCAACAGTGCAGCTAGTTTACACCAAAATGGGAATAATAATAATCCTTCACTTACCAAAGGAGGGAGCTAAGCCATTAGAAGGGGATGAGAAGAACACAGAAAGGGAGATAGAGAAAGTGTAGTGAGAAAGAACCACCCAGGAAGAAGCTCAGAGAGTTCCACTTAGCTCAGAAGCATACTCCAAGCCCTAATCATCATTATCCATGCAACCTTAGTAACTTTCATAGCATTGCATCAACATCTCAGTCATTAGAAGCCTTACTATCATCCTAGGAAAGCCCAAATTATCCAACAAAGAATGCCATGCAACCATGCAAATCCCTTCTCTCGCATGTAAACTGATAATCTCCTAGCTTCCACACCACGCTTCACTCGAGCAAGTCATTATCTTGATCTTTCATGCTATCTTCGAGTCATTGATGTTACTGAGGTGTTTCCTAAGACAAGTTATCTCTTTTGAGATATCACGAGACTTGTTGCGATCTGCACCAAGGGAGACAAGAGGACGTTTTTAAAGCCCAAGTCCACCTCGACCTAAAAGTCCCCTAACCATGACTATGGGTTAGTTTGATATTGTTGTGCTTTGAAAAAAAAATCTATTTCTATTGTATTTTGAGAATAAGCAGTTGTGTAATAAGGAGGTAACGTGTATGGTAAACTATATTTGTAAAAGTGCTTTTACCAAAAAAAACAATGTTATAGTATTTGGTAATTTTTTTTATGTAAAACAGCTATGATTGCGTGAAATGACCAAAAAAGATATAACGTTAAATATTATTATGACATTTATAATATTTATATAAACTATTTACTAAACAACTATACTTACCCTTTTTTTTATTATATGATATTTAAGATATTTATAATTTTTTATTCTATTCTTTTCTCCAAAGGGTCGTTTCTTCTTTACCTTATCCCTATTTTTTTTTTTTTTTTTTTTTTTTTTTGCAGAACCTCTGAATATTTTATCTTGCACCACTCACTCCCTCTCCCCCATTCTCTCTCTGTCTCTCTCTGCCATATCCTAAGGAAGGTTGGGTCGTGGGGAAAAGAAGACTGGTTGCATCAACTGATTCACGGAGGAAGGATGGACTCCAATTTCAGGATAGTTAACACAGACGACGTTGAGGCCGTCCTATTGAGATTTTGGGTGTCAAGCAGAAGGGTGCAAATCTGGCATTCTTTATGCAACCTAGATTTTGACAAAGCCCAGAAATCTGACAAAGAGGCCTCGAAATTCGACAAAGCCTAGAAATCTGAAGAACCTCCCATCTCTGTTGTCCCAAAAATCCAAAGAAGCTTATAAATTCAATGATGGAGAGCAAAGCTGGAAGAAAGAGGAAGAGAGGGCAAGATTGCCATTTGAAAAATTCATTTAATGTTACTGTTCACCCGCCTCTTGGGATTAAAAGCCGGTTTTTTGAAAACTGGGATTTGCAGCTTCTTGTTTTTGGCTTCTTCTTTTTTTTTTTTTTTTTTTTTTTTTTTCATCCAAAATTGTGAGGGGGAAAAAAAACTGAATTTGAATGTATACAAAACACAAAAAGCTCCTCGCTTTTTTCAATACCTTTTTTTTTTTTTTTAATTTAAGCGGTACCAAACTGGTACTACGTGCCACGCCTAATAATAGGAGAGTGTTCTCCAAATATTTATTTAAGCTAAATCTCAATTAGATTAGGTTAACTTATGTTTAGAATTCTATTACTTATGTTTAGACCCAAAATGACAGTTTTGGGCCGAGGATGATCATGGGCTTGACCCAGTATGTAAGATGTTGGGCATCCCAAAATACTCCCAGAGAAAACCCAACCTAGTGAGGTTTGGCCAAATCCTATCAGAAAACAATCTTATCTGGATATGAGGGCTGATTGAGTCCTGATATAACAAGGAGTCCTCGGATGCCAATTATGCTTTGAATAAAGAAATATGCCGAGAATTAAGGGTTGAATCTGAAGGATAATAGGGTTGGATTCACAGTCCTACATGAACTAGGACTGGCCGAAGCCCATTCAGATTTGAACAAGGAATTATAGTCAGAGTGAAACTCTACTTCGGTCATGTAGGAATTACTACTATAAATATAGGGGGAGTGCATTGTTCAAAGCCCCTCTACTTCCGTCATGTGGGAATTACAAGAATATTTTTGTAAATTATTCTTCTTCGAATAATGGAGTTGTTGGAATGAAGAATTAGTACTATATTTTATTCCTTCACGTGGGCTGTCTGTTATCATGGTCTACATGAGTGGGATCTCTAATCCAATCTTCAAGGTTGGCGACAAACTTGGTGTGCATATTTGGCCGAAGGAAAGAAGAAAACTGGTGACTTGATCAAGTTCTTAACCTCTTTAATTCAAATATTGATGACTTCGTAAGCAACCAGGAAGGGGATACATATACTTACCAAAAAGAAAGATCGAACAGAGCGAAGACATCACAAAAGGAGAGATTCTTTCTTAACTACAAATCATAATTACGTATATTAAAATAGACTTTCTACGTCAAGAATGTCCATAACTTTCTTAAGTTGTGGAAATTCTTCTTAAGGCTACCCTCTAATAGATTTCAACGACCAAAGTCTTCTATATCTTTAGTACTCGTTTAAGAGTCACCTTGTAAAAAATCATTCAAATTCAAAATAGTTGGTCATCAAAAATGACAAATAAACGCAGTTCATTAGATAAAACTGATATATAAATTTTGACAATAAAAAAACCAAGCAATTGCGGATTTAGTCCATTTTTTTATATAAATAATCCTTAAAAAGAAATCGAAAAACTGAACGATTTCTATAATTAAAAATTTAAATTGTAGTCTGCAAGCAGATCTCCTTTTCGACAGAGATCTGCTTTTCTATCAAGCAAGTCCCACACATACTTTTCACGCATAATATAATTAAGCCTCTTAGATCATCTCCAATGGTTGGGCTAAAAGTCAAAATTTTTAACCCGAAAAATTTAGTTTTTAGCCCAAAAATAGCTTTTTTACTCCAACAGTTCTACCCTAAAATTTTAGCCCGGGATTATTAAAGAATGAACTTAGGCTATTTTTTTTGTTAAATTAATTTTTTTTAAAAAAATAAATATGTAGACTATCGTAAATTAATTTTATGAACATTTTAATCTAAAAAAAATTTTAAATTCCGATAAATATTGGGTAGAGTCTACCCCGATTTCTGGGTTAAATTTCGGGGGGAATTTGGCATTGGTTTAGCATTTAGCTCAAAATTTCCCCTTGGGTTGGAGTGGGTTTGGGGGGAAATTTTGGGGGGTAATTTGATTTTTAGTCCACCATTGAAGTTGGTCTTACAATGTTCGTAACGACCATAATCCAAAAACATCCACATCGTTCTTTACAGCAAACAATCCAAAACAAGGGAATTCCGTTTGTGAATACTTTTTTTTGTCCAATAAGCCAATGGCCATTCTATACGGTGAGAATTAACTTTGCATGAAAAGGGATACTCTCACGTTGTATTATAAACTACTACCTATTGTAGAACAATTAAATTGCCTGAATATTGTATCACTAAATTATTAGACGTCACATTGAACATTATACATGTTCCATAAACTTTGCTATCATAGGTAAAATGATAAGTCATGATGTTGAGATTATGAATTCCATATTGAAGAAAGAAGGGATTATGCATGTGTTTATAAGTAATTAGGGCTACTTCCTATTTTGCTAATTGGTTTTATAGTGGAACCTCAACTTTCTTCATGGTATCATAGCAGATTGTCTCATGTGTGAAGCCTAACGGCTATACATGCTTCAAGTGACCTGATTTGTCTTGTTCACGTGTTAGATTGGAAGATTCGCCACATGTGAGGAAGCGTACTAAGATTATGAATCTTACATCGAAGAAAAAAGAGATCTTACATGTGCTTATAAGTAATTGGACTGATCATCAACTTTCTTCATATGAACATCAACAATCTAGCAAATAATTATATGATTATGTCAGCTAACGATTCTTAAAAAAGCATTTGTAATCGTCTTGAAAGTATCTTGTCTCTCACAAGGAGAAACAGAAGTCTTGGATATATACTTAGTGGCAGGGTCAGGATTTTTAAATAATGGGGTCATAATATCAACTAAAAAAGCTTGATTGGGCCATTTCGTCGAGCACCTAGTATGCACCTACCAATTCTTGCTAACATATGCTGAAAGCTTATGCCAACATATGTCGACAACCACTATTATTTGTAGAGGCTTGTCAAGGGTGGATGCACGATACTGTGGAGTAATGTCGAAGACTGCTAAGGCTTGCCAACTAAGGTATTTCATCGAGCACATGATGCACACAATAGAGTCACACACAAGAAAAGGAAAAAAGAAGACAAATATGATAGAAGAAAATAGAATAAGCAGAAGGATGAGGTGGTAAGTCTTAGCTGTTTATAGGAGTCAAATACAAAACATAACAAATATAAATGGTTTTTTTAAGTTGTTGGGGTCAAGGGCAAACAATGACCCCATGTTGTCTTCACCGCTGTATATACTAAAGGTTTTCAGCTGGATAGCCATTACCATTTAGTTTTTCGTTGAATCCTCTCACCCCGTCCATAAATTATTTTGATTATTCCTTTGGAGGGGACACTATATCACAGTGAATTGCGCCCAAAGCTATTTATTTCTTAATTTTGGGGCAAATTACATTCATGACTTAGCTAGCTTGACACATAAACACCAAACCACACATACCTTACAGTCATAAAGCCACTTCCCTCAGGACCAATGGCCTTTTTATTTTCTGATACAAAGAAGCTGTGGGAAAGATTTCCAGCATAAACTTAACATACATTACAGTGCTCGCTATCACTAACCACAAGCTTATTATATTTTAAAAAAAGGACCAGATTTTGCACGAATTCACTTCATGTTCCTCTTACTCATTGTAAACAGAAATATTTGGCCTTGGCTCAAAATCTTCATCAAATGATGACTGCTTCTCTTCTTTTGCTACAAATGGCTTCTTGTCATGGAAAGCCTGAGACTTGGGGAGAGAGTCAGTGTCTTTGGTAGAGTTCTCTGCTTTGCTTTCACCATCATGGTAAGATGAAACATTGGGCCTTGGCTCAAATTCCTCAGTCCCAACGAATGGTTTTTTCATGTTTTCATGGCAGTCGTCGGCTTTCTTTTTTGGTGTTGAATCAGGAACATCACCAAGTAGGCCTCCAATTGCTTGGGGCATAGATTGCTCATTCATAACAGTTTTCCAGTATTCTCCTACACCTCCTCTTGATTCAATAGTTTTAGCAAACTGATTCAGAGAGAGAGAGAGAGAGGAAACAAAAGTTATTTTAATTTCCCACGCTTTTGAATGATTGTATCCTGTTTAAATAATAATAAGGCTTGTTCTATCTGTCACATGACACCACATACAACACAATTAGAGTATGAAAGATGTTATTAGCGCTCTAAAATGTTGATTCAAATCTCTAGATATATAGAAATTTAATGGAGAAATATTTGATTCTTTTGTTAAGAAATTATAACATAAATAAAATGCTTATGTTCTCAAATTGTGATTGTTGATTATTTTGATTCTTATTATAATTTATATATAGATTTATAGTTAAACAATATAAGTTAGCAAGAAAACATTACACAATTTTGTAGTAAAAGAACATTTTCGACGTAAATATGATAGAAGAGTTCAATTTGTCATTCCAACCTGTCAAGTTCTTGGCTTAAAAAATTTGGTACGTAACATATTTTAAGCAACAACATTAAGGATAATACAAATGCTTACCAAAAGAATAGAGAAGAGAGCTAAGGTGGCACAAAGGGACTTCATGTTTGAATTGTATTCAAAAGAAATGCTTGTAGTCGTATGTTTAATGTTATGAAAACTCAGACTACTTATAGATAATTTGGGAGGAGAGTAATCTCTCCACGCAGAACATGGTTCAGTTGGGGTTGATGATGACAACGATTCTGAATAAAATATCAGAAAGGGATTATCTCCTAATCTTTTTCTTTTAATTCATTAAATCAGTAAATTCGTGTCATTAAAATTTAATCTAACAACTAAAGTTATTATAACTTTTAAAGTGAGATCCATGTTTGTTGCTATTGAATCAAATTTTAATAATATTAATCCACTAATTTGATAAATTAGAAGGAAGAGGATCCCTTTTCTAATATATCATGGCAATTCCCACCAGATAAATGATTTTCATACTTACAAGAAACTAACGGTGGAGGACGACTAGGGGCCCTAAGATTTTTGAAGGCTTCCAATATATATGTTTCTCAGTCAAGTAGAGTCTGACAGAGTCATTTATTTTGGAATCCGGATTCTTGCTGGGTTTTTTTATGTAAAGATCTTGAAGATCCATCAATTCTATTATTTAATCGCATATTGTAAAGGTTATAAATTATTTTTATTTAAAATTAAATATAAAAAATATTTGATAAATATTGATTGTTCGATGCACGATAAACAAACACGATTCACGAATCCTTAAAATCTTCTTTAAAAGGATGCGCAGAGGATCTAATTGGTTTATTAATTAGGATGTGTTATCCACACATCTTATTTTACTTCTCACACACATTTGATAATTTTTATCAATTGATTTTCTTCAATTCATCTGATCCGATGGCCGAAAAAAGGTGTGTGAGAAGTAAAATGAGATGTGTGGATATCACACCCCTATTTATTTTGTGGGAAAAGAATCCTCACCGGATTATTTTCCGAGGATCCTAGGAATCCTGTGATTGTGACTGTTCATTATACATCGTGCAGTCAGTTTGTATTAAATACTATTTATATTTAATTTTAAAATTTAAATAATTTATCATCGTGCGATATACGATACACTATTACATTACGATCACGAAATCCTTAAAAAAAACATCCTAGCACTATTTTGTGCATGCATTTGATAGGTTTTCTCATGTGATATGACTCCGACATGATATCCAATCATGATTCGAGTTTATATTTTTATAAAATCAAGTAGAGTCTGACACAGTCATTTATTTATTTTGTGGGATGCATTTAATAGGTTTTCTCATGTGATATGACTCCGACATGATATCCAATCATGATTCGAGTTTATATTTTTATAAAATCAAGTAGAGTCTGACACAGTCATTTATTTATTTTGTTGCATTTAATAGGTTTTCTCATGTGATATGACTCCGACATGATATCTAATCATGATTCGAGTTTATTTTTTTTATTTGTTTGTTATACAATGATATACTGACATCCTCGGGTAAGGAGTCTTGGCAGCCCACGAAAGAGAATGGAACTCGCTATTAATAATATGAATTGAATCCTAAAAATTTCAAATTTATAAGTGAAGTATAATATTATTAAATTATAATACTAGACGGTGAATTATAGTTATACCTTAAAATGTACACACACAAGCGTGCTAATAGGTTCTAAATTTTATATTTTTTCTTTTGTATCAAAGTAACATTATTTTGCTATACGAACATTACAATAGAAACCATTCATTCCTTTCAATTATCTATATGAATTTGACAATTGATAATTTATTCTATGTTACTTGTTAGCATAACTGTCAATTTGTTCAACAATCAACATATATAAATGACTTAACGATCTCCAAATTAAATAAAACAATTTCGATTGTGACTTTTGTACTGTAAAATTATGGATGTAAATCGGCTCAAAATAATTCGAGCTCACATCGGATTTGGTCCGTGTTTGGCTCATCGAAATTTGTCTTGTGAAACAATCAAGCCAAACCTAATTTGGCTTGATCAAGAAACAAAGCAAGCTTGAACTTTAGCATGTGCGGCTTGTAAAACTCGATAGCACCTCAAATGCTTTTACGAATCAATTCAAGATAATAAACTTGATCGCTTCAACTCGACTCGATCATTCAAGCTCGACACTTAATAATATTTTATATATTAAAACAATACATGTACTCAACTCTTGTCCAATATATATTTGGAGGCTTAAGTTCAACTAATTTAATTAACAATATAAAAAAAAACTAAAAAGGATATTTTTATTCTTTCTTTAACCATATAAAAAGATTAGTTCGAAGGGTTTTTCTATTGATAGAAATAGTGTAAAAAGGAGTTCAAGTTGCTAAATAAAAACGCATACTGTCAAAGTCTTATTTGCCAAATTATTGATTTCTCTTCATGCTTGTATCTATTTCAAAACTTCTTAAGTTTGATTGACAAATTTAGTTAGATTGTTTTCAAGACATTATGTGTTACGTATTCTTTCGGTTTCGAAAGACCCCTACAGATGTGATAGTTTAGCCTCCCACTGAGTTTCAGCTATCAAAAGGGTAAACCAAAAAGGCTTTTTTTTTTTTTTTTTCCCTTAAAGCAATGCGTTTGAAAGTTTTGTGTTGCATTGTTTATCTCTTATATGTTATTTTTCACATGCATGGCTAAGTGCAATTCTTTTTTTTTTTTTAATTTTTTTTTAATTTTAATTTTTTACAATCGAACCAACTTGCTATAAGAAATAGCTCGAAACAGTCTGAGCTCTGTATCTGGCTCCAAAATTTAAGCTTGCATAAGCTCGGTTCATTGAAGAAGCAAGCCAAGCTTAGCTCGAGTTTGAAAATATAAAAACAAACAAAGCTTAAGCACAATGATACTCGGTTTGACTCGACTTTACAACCCCGACTCGACTTTACAACCTGTTGGGCCCAAAATATTATTTTGGGCCGAGCTTAGAGTCATGCTTGGCCCAGTAGCATTCGTCTAGAATCTTGTTATGGACCATCCAGTCAAGGTCAGGCGAATCCTGTTGTAAGAAGGATTGGTTTAGATAAAGGTGAGAGATGGCAATTCTAACCGTTAAACTTGATAACCGTGGATAGCCGCCCGAATGGATTGGATTTGGATATGAAAATTCGAGTATGGTATGGATATGGGGAAAAACCGTGAACTATATTCGGTTATGGTTTTGGATATGGTTATAGGGGTCCCCGATCCGTGTTCATCCCCGAATCCGACCCGAATATACATATCTGGTTTTGGATATGGTTATAGGGGTCCCCAATCCATGTTCGTCCTCGAATCCAACCCGAATATACATATATATATATTTGATATATAATATAATTTTATACCGAACTCTCCCTATACTAATTCATTATTGATGCATCAAACCCTATACTATCTTTATTATGCACCAAACATCATGCATGGGGCATACCAACAACCTCATCAATTCAATACTCTTATTGTTACACTCAACCAAATTAATTCATTGAATCCTTTTATATATCAATTATCAAATATTACAAGTTTATCAGATTCATCTCTCTTCAAGAGTCTCACTGTCAAGAAATTGGTGCATGTTATCATGAACAACTTCAAATATATTGTTAGTTTTTTGTAATTTGATGTTGCTTTTTAATGACGGAATTAGTATCTACTAAAATTTATAATGCGTCAATTGGATAATTTTTTATTTTTTTATTTATTTTTTTTTAAGATGGATATAACCGATAACCGATTGAAAATCCGTTACCCGGTGGATATTGTTATGGATAATCCCCTATGGTTAATTTGCAGTTATGGATATGGTTAATTTTCATGATTATGGGGATGGAAATAGTATTTCCATCCCTAAACCGAACCATTGACTGTTGAACCCTAGTGCAATAAGGAGTCTTAAAGCTGAAGATGCTTAGAATTAGGGGATGAATCTGGTTCGTTATGGAGGTTGGTTCAAAATCCTATTGGAGCTAGGATTGGCCGAAACCTAATCAGATTGGGTTGAGGAATTCTAATCCGAATACATTTCTAGTTCGACCATGAAGGGGTACACTATAAATAGAGAAGAGACTGCATCATTTAAAGCCCCTTCAAATCAATACACAAATTGCCCTGCGCAAAGCTTCTCAACAACCTTGAGATTTTATCTTTTTCCCTTTTTCTTCTTGTCAACACATCTTCATTTTGGATAAATAGCACTATGAAGGCAATTGGCGACATCTTCAGTTTAGATAGATAGCATTGGAGCTATAAAATCAGCTGATCGAGGAGCACCTTCAGTTTGGATAGACAACACTGTTGCGAGGCCGACTGGTTATTATCCAAGTCTCGGTCGATAAGGATTTTTGAGTCCTTGTTGGTAGAGGTCATCTCGTTAGCCTTCTCGGCGAAGTGAAGTGTTACAGGTTATTAGACTCGGCACATTGAATGTCGAGTTTTATGATATTCACAAGTACATTTTAGAGTTCGGCATTTTGACGGCCGAACCACATTCACCATTAAGACATTTATCTCTTTCGAGTATTTGTGTCCATATAGCTTGGTGCTAGTTCGGCGTACTTATACTCTCACAATATAATTACGAGACCTAACCCGGCGTCGACGATTTGTGAACTTCACAGAACTAGCAGCCTCGTCTTCAGGCTCTAGAACCCAAAGGCTGAGACGTGTTCCTTCCTCGGCAGCAGTTGCAAGATCGAGAAGTTAGTAGCGTGTCCAACGCCACATCGACATATTTTACTCCTCGGCCGAACTCGGCCGATGAGTTGGCACGCCCCACACATAACCGAAAGACGTAGTTAGCTTATTAGTTACTCAGCCTGCGCGCCACGTAAGCTTGGTGGTTTTTAGGAACCAAAATGATGTCACGCCATCATTATGAAGGAATGACTCTTTATTTACAACCCAAGTATTATCTTTTTTGCATTAGATAACTCCACTTCGACCACCATGTTGTCATCACCCCCATTCCCACCCACCATCATTGCTTTCACCAACACTACTTCCACTCCACCCACTATCAACATCGATCCTGGCATTGCCAATAGCATATTTGCCAACTACTACCTATCAATTATTGACTAACACATTAAATTTCGTATTTAACTTCTATTTCACAAATTTTATCAAATTCGTCAGTTTGAATTTCATCATT